TTTGTTTGTTTATTTGTGTTGTTCACTCAATTTATATCGAGCTAGTAATTTTACAACCCCTTCAACCTATTATGAGTTAAGTTTTTTAGGTCACTAAATCACTTATATTTTCTTTTACTCAATGTTTGTTTTTAATAAGCCCAACTAAATTGTAGGATTAAAAAAATATGTTGTTGTGGCACGAAAAATCTGTGAAGCGAAGAAAATGCAACTTATATTATTGAGTAATTGAACATAAAGGTGCACTTGTATTATATTTTTATTTTTATATTTTCACTGTCATCCTATTATGTTTTTTGTTTGCGTTTCTTTTATGCAGGTTCAAGTGTACACCATATTGTTAATATGATCCTATTCCACCAATACTTATTAATATGTTTCTACATCCTTTATACTCTTATTATGTTTGTCTTTGTGTTTGTATTATGCAGGTGCACGTGTACATCCTATTGCAGATGTGATCCTATTCCATCAATACTTAGTAATATGTCTATACTTCCATCGTTATCCTATTGTGTTTGTCTTATGTAGGTGCATGTGAACATCCTATAGTAAATATGATCCTATTCCACCAATATTTATTAACGTGTATATACTTCCACTGTTATCTTATTATATTTTTATTTTTGTTTGACTCATGTAGGTGCACGTGTACATCCCATTGCAGATATGTTCCTACTCCACAAATACTTATTAATGTTTTTTTATGTCTACTTTTAACTTATTGTGATCATCTTTGTGTTTAATTTATGCAGGCACAAGTGTACATCATGTTGTAGGTATGATCCTATTTTACCAATATTTATTAATGTGTCTATACTTCCACTGTCCTCTTATTATGTTTGTCTTATGCAGATGTACATGTACATCCTTTTGCAGGTATGATCCTATTTCACCAATATTTACCAATGTGTCTACATTTATACTGTCATCCTATTGTGTTTGTATTTTTTTTTATTTATCTTATCTATGTGCACATGTACATTCTATTGCAGGTATGATCCAATACCACCAATACTTATTAATGTTTTTATATTTTCACTATCGACGTATTGTGTTTGTGTGTCTTATGCAAATGCACGTGTAGATCCTAATGCAGGTATGATCTTATTTTATCAATATTTATTAATGTGTCTATACTTTTACTATCATCCTATTGTATTTGCATTTATTTTTTTGTTTGCATTTTTTTGTGTGTTTGTGTTTTTTTTTTTTTTTTTTTTTTTTTGCATTTGTGTTTGACCTTGTGTTTGTGTTTGTGTGTGTTTATGTTTATAATTGTTTGTGTGTGTGTTTGTGTTGTTCGCTCTATTTATGTCAAACTAGTAATTTTACAACCTCCTCAACCCACTATGAGTTAAGTATTTTCGGTCACTCAATCACATTTATTTTCTTTTACTCAATGTTTATTTTTAATAAGCACAACTGAATTGCAGGACTGAAAGAATATGTTGTTGTGACATGAAAAATCTATGATGCGACGAAAATGCAGCTAATGTTATTGAGCAATTGAACATAGAAGTGCGCATGTATATCCTATCGCACGTACGATCCTATTCTACTAATTCTAAATAGTGTGTCCATATTTTCACTATAACCCTATTATGTTTGTGGTTTTGTTTTTTTTTTATTATTTATCTTATGCAGGTCCACATATACATCCTGTTGCAAGTATGATCATATTTCACCAATACTTATTAATGTTTTTATACTTCCACTGTCAACCTATTATGTTTTTGTTTTTGTTTCTTTTATGCAAGTTTAAATGAACATCGTATTGTTAGTATGATTCTATTCAATCAATACTTATTAAGATGTCTATACATCCCTTATCCTCTTATTATGTTTAACTTTGTGTTTCTCTTATGCAGGTGCACGTATACATCCTATTGCAGGTATGATCCTATTTCATCAATACTTATCAATATGTCTATACTTCCATCATCATCTTATTGTGTTTGTCTTATGTAGGTGCATGTGAACATCTTATTGTAGGTATAATCCTATTCAACCAATACTTATTAATTTATATATATTTCCACTGTCATCCTATTGTATTTTTGTTTGTGTTTGACTCATGTAGGTGCACGTGTACATCCCATTGCAGATATGTTCCTACTCCACCAATAGTTACTAATGTTTCTACATGTCCACGGTCAACTTATTATATTTATCTTTGTCTTTATCTTATGCAGGTACAAGTGTACATCCTATTATAGGTATAATCTTATTTTACCAGTACTTATTAATATGTTTATACATCCACTGTCATTTTATTGTGTTTGTGTTTATCTTATATAGGTGCATGTGAACATTCTATTGCAAGTATAATCCTATTGCACCAATACGTATAAATGTGTATATACTTCCACTGTCATCCTATTGTATTTTTGTTTGTGCTTAACTTATGCAAATGCACGTATACAATCTATTACAGGTATGATCTTATTCCACAATTACTTATTAATGTTTTTTTATGTCTACTTTCAACTTACTGTGTTCATCTTTGTGTTTGTGTTATGCAGGTGCAAGTGTACATCTTGTTGTAGGTATGGTCCTATTTCACCAATACTTATTAATGTGTCTATACTTCCACTGTCCTCTTATTATGTTTATCTTATGCAGATGCATATGCACATCCTTTTGCAGGTATGATCCTATTCCACCAATATTTACCAATGTGTCTACATTTCCAGTGTCATCTTATTGTGTTTGTATTTTTTTTTTTATTTGTCTTATCTATGTGCACGTGTACATTATATTGCAGGTATGATCCAATTCCACCAATAATTATTAGTGTTCCTATACTTTCACTATCGACGTATTGTGTTTGTATTTGTCTTATGCAAATGCACATGTACATTCTAATACAGGTATGATCCTATTCTACCAATATTTATTAATGTGTTTATACTTTCACTGTCATCCTATTGTGTTTGCATTTATTTTTTTGTTTGTGTTTTCTTTGTGTTTGTGTTTTTATTTTTGTTTGTGATTTTTTTTTTTTGCGTTTGTGTTTGACCTTGTGTTTGTGTTTGTATAATTTTGTGTATATGTTTGTAATTGTTTGTGTGTGTGTTTGTGTTGTTCGCTTTATTTATGCCGAGCTAATAATTTTATAACCTCAACCTATTATGAGTTAAGTATTTTGGGTTACTCAACCACATTTATTTTCTTTTACTCAATGTTTTTTTTAATAAGCACAACTGAATTGCAGGACTGAAAGAATATGCTGTTGTGACATGCAAAATCTGTGACGCGACGAAAATGCAACTAATGTTATTGAACAATTGAACATAGAAGTGCACATGTATATCCTATTGCAGGTACGATCTTAGCCCACTAATTCTAAAGTTATTAATATGTCTATACGTCCCCTATCCTCTTACTATGTTTGTCTTTGTGTTTGTCTTATGCAGGTGCACGTGTACATCCTATTGCAAGTGTGATCCTATTCCATCAATACTTATCAATATGTTTATACTTCTATCGTCATCCTATTGTGTTTGTCTTATGTAGGTACATGTGAATATCTTATTATAGGTATGATCCTATTCCACCAATATCTATTAATGTGTATATATTTTCACTGTCATCCTATTGTATTTCTGTTTGTGTTTGACTCATGCAGGTGTATGTGTACATCCCATTGCAGATATGTTCCTACTCCACCAATATTTACTAATGTTTCTACATGTCCACTGCCAACTTATTACGTTCATCTTTGTCTTTGTCTTATGCAGGTACAAGTATACATCTTATTGTAGGAATGATCTTATTTCGCCAGTACTTATTAATATGTTTATACATCCACTGTCATTCTATTGTGTTTGTGTTTATCTTATGTATGTATGATCCTATTGCACCAATACTTATTAATGTGTATATACTTTCACTGTCATCCGATTATATTTCTGTTTGTATTTTAATTTATTGTGTTAATCTTTGTGTTTGTCTTATGCAGGTGCAAGTGTACATCCTGTTGTAGGTATGGTCCTATTTTACCAATACTTATTAATGTGTCTATACTTCCAATGTCCTCTTATTTTGTCTTGTGCAGATGCACATGTACATCATTTTGTAGGTCTGATTCTATTCCACCAATATTTACCAATGTGTCTACACTTCCAGTGTCATCCTATTGTGTTTGTATTTTTTTTTATTTATCTTATCTAGACGCACGTGTACATCCTATTGTACGTATGATTCAATTCCACCAATGCTTATTAATGTTTCTATACTTCCACTATGAGCGTATTGTGTTTGTGTTTGTCTTATACAAATGCACGTGTACATCCTAATACAGGTATGATCCTATTCTACCAATACTTATTAATGTGTCTATACTTTCACTGTCATCCTATTGTGTTTGCGTTTGCTTTTTTGTTTGCGTTTTCTTTTGTGTTTGTTTTTGTATTTATGTTTTTATTTTTGTTTATGTTTTTTTTTTTCGTTTGTGTTTGACCTTGTGTTTGTATTTGTATGATTTTGTGTGTGTTTATGTTTGTGATTGTTTGTGTTCATGTTTGTGTGTGTGTTTGTCTTTGTGTTGTTTGCTCAATTAAAAACAAACAGGTTATTGTGCTAAAAAATTAGATGAGTAAAACAAACTACTTTCTTAAACACTCCACACTTTTCATAATCACTTCCTGAACACTTTTAATTCATGTAGAAACTAAAAAGCAACTTTTCCAACGGTTAAAAGAAAGATCAAGATGAAAACGGGGGATAATGAATGTGATGATGATGGAACAAAAGTAATGTTTTTGGAATAAATAGTGATTCAATTAATTTCACTGCTTTTCCTAGTTCTTTTTACCCTCGCAGCCACTCGTACCTCTTATATGTAATTCGATAGTCAATAAATGTATAGAGCAAAATATTGGCTTTGATTTGGCATGTACATGCTACAACTTACCACTAATACATTATTATGGTCTAGAAACACAGAAATGAACCAAATTGTGAGATATACCTTTTTGAAATGTTTTACTCTGAAACTAGAATTGAAGATGCATAATGGATTTTCGGATATCTCCACGACAAGAATGTATAAACTTCTCCACTAAAAGAGGATGGATGTTGACTCCTTCAGTGAGACAAACCTGCAGGTAATTCATATAATATTAATATACGTTTGGACAATTTATTTTACTACTTGAAAACATAAACTGAAAAACATACAGTATACAAATGGGAAAGCAACTCCTTTGGCGATGGCAACACGAATGGAACATGGAACCTATCAAACTTATGTGGCAGACCCGGATTATCACCTATTACAGCAGTATGTCTCCATTAATATGAACATCCAAGAAAATCTGAGTTAAGCAAAAATTCATCATTCTAACTAGTCATCTTACTATTACTGGTCAATATAATTGGCCCCTTTGAAGTCTCAGCAATCTGTTGTATGGCAGCTATACATCCACGATCTTCGGCGTAAAGGATGTCCACATCCTCAACTAGGACTAGAGGATGGAATTTATACTTTTCAGACTCATCATTTTCACCTAGTAACTTCAATGATGATCCACCATTGAAGAGAGTTGGAGATGGGGGCAAATTTTTAGAGTTCTTCTGTGAACTCACCTTGTTTTGTGATTGCCTGAAATATATACACATCAAATAATATATTATCACAAAACAGGTCTATATAAGCTACTTTTATGGAGTAACTTGGTTTTACTCAATACAATTGAATCAAGGCACATCATGCAACAATGAACTTTAATTATAAATATCATACTCTACTTAGACCTAGACATTTTAGCTTGTCTCAAAGGATTGAAGAAGGGAAGGACCCAGTTGATGCAAATAAAAGCAGCAAATGACCAATGTTTGAAGAAAGAAGCAAAAACTACACGTCTTCTAGAATTGTTTTGGATTCTCATAGTGCCAACACATGAAGATTATGTTGAGTTAGCTTACAATAAGGAAGTTATAAAAAAACATTTTTAAAATCAAAATTTTATTCTGGCTCTCACCAATTGGATAATCACATTACTATACTCTTGAATCTCTAACTTAAGATAGATTACTATAAAAGCAAGTTCGTTCTCTCTCATAAATGAAGCCCCAAAAAGGACTTTCTATGAATGGTATCATATCAATACAACTGCTGTAAAACCTAAAGCAAGATAGAGAGGGGTGAGAATTTGCGGATACATGCGAAAACAAATGATAAAATCTGAGAAATTTGTACAGGTCAAAATTTGGAATAACAATTTGATAAAAAACTAAAATAAAAACTGTTAAGAGCCCTTTACTTGGACCAAAAAACTCTGAACGTAAGAGCTGCTACTAGAGCAATAATAGTTAGGATGCTGATAGATATTTCACTCAAAAGAATATTATCTACGAAGTCCCACTTCATCCTTCCATCATGTTTTTTAACAGATCCCGAGGCAAGCTCGCTCTCAACCTTTTTGTGCAGATGCTCCCGCTTCCTCAGCATCCATCCAATGAAACTTTTTTTGCTTTGGTTCTGTGGCACTGCCGTGCCTCTTGAATTATCACTCTTATCAATACCACAACAGACGTCACTTCCACAGGCACAAGATTCTGGCTCTTCTGAGAATCCTCCAGCCTTGGCTGAGATACCGCAAAGAGAAGGCAAATCCCGATCAGGAAGCAACTTGTTTAGAACTTTATTGCCACTTACACGGTCGATTGTCTCAATTACTTCCCAAAAACAGACCATCTTCCCACAGATGTAATCTTAACCATAGCTGACGCTCCCAGCATATGGTCTGGAGCAAGTATGAGAACTTGTATATATCCTTTCGTATGACCAACCTTCCACATTGACAAACAAATTCATTAGATGATATACAACACAAGTAAATGTGTAAAAGTCTCAAGTTCAAAGGAATTCGTCCAGGAATTCACTTAAATGGACCCCCTTCCCCCAAAATAAAGATTAGGAAAAAAAAAAAAAAACAAGATATTATTACTTCGTCCCATTCCATTCTCTTTCATTATTGTACAAGAGGACATAAACCCATGTTTATGACATGGGAGTAGACCTTTTGCAACACCCCAGATATACTGAAGATTATAAGTCCATAGAAAAAAAGCAAGACTCGTTCGCAGCTACACCAACTAAAATCTCAAGTATCGTAATTTGAAACACACTGCACAGCTATCAAGGCAGTTAAAAGTTCAGAAACAAAATAACCAGCTGTTGAATTAATATTGATTAAAAATAATAAAAACACATCCCTTAACACACTATTTTCAGCACACTCTTCACTATTGACTAAAATTTAGTTGAAATTACAGTTTTTTTAGGTTCAACATATTTAATGAGCTCTAGACATGATTTTATTCTTTCTAGTAAATTTTAATCAATAGTAGAAAGTGTGTCAGAAGAAGTGCTAGAAAGGGTATTGACATGTTATTGGCTTTCTCCAGTCTTGATAAATGGAATGCGCAAAAAAAGGACTGATCAGGAAACCTCATGTGTCGCTTATTCCTAAATTTTTTTCATTGGGACTTTAGCCGTTTCATGGCAGTAAAAATATTCAGTGTTGAGATACTAGAAATCAGAGTTTCAGGCTAAAAGCCAATGAACTGAATGCACAAATGACATACTTAAATGGAATACATTTAAAAGCAAGAAAAAAAATCAACATGTAAGATCTATTACACTGTCTTACCAAGTGAATTCCATCAGATGCAATATCAGTAATCCAAATTCTTTCCACTTTGCCTTCCATCCCAGAGTATGTTGTGAATGATTCAAAGACATTTGTCAGTTCTCGGCTTCTTCTTTTAACCACATTACTTGGAACCTTTTTCATCCTTGCAGCAGGTGTCCCTATCATTTTATAGTATTATTACTATTATTATTATTTGTCACAGGTGGGGAAAATTATATGCATCTTACAGGTGGGGAAAATTATACTGAGAAACAAAGAACTTCTCTGCTTAATGCATTTATTAAGAATATTATTATTAGGAGCACTTTTTGATTCAATTTAGGATTACTTTTAGCATAAGCAAAAGAAATATCATAAAAAGGATGGGTCGGTGGAGAAGACTATCACAAGTGTAATGGGGTCAGAAATGCACAACCTCACCCCCTTAGGCACGATTGCAACTCATAAGGCAGCAACTACCCCCACCCTACACAAAAAGGAGAAGAAAAACAAACAATAGAAACAGCACCCTCTGGATCCAAGATATCATAACATTATTTCTACACTGCACTACAGACTTCGTACCTATTTAGATTTCCTCCTTAAAATGAAGTTATGTTTTTTGCATTCCATATTAAGTTGTCCGATCACAAACCTGGTGGAGGATCAAATTGTGAAATATGAACTTAAGGGAACTTGTACTCTTTAACAAGATTGACAGTTTGCATAAAATCTTCATCAGATTCACCTGAAAACATGTAATAAGTATACTAAGATCAATGCACTAATTTTCTTCTTGAAACAGTCCAGATTATCTATATGAACTCTAAATCATTTCAATCATATTAAATTTTTCACATTTCCAATTCATAAATGACATCCAAATTGCAATATTGACTTAAAATGTCATTTATTCTTGAAGTTTATAAGAACCTCTCAAGCTTAGACTCCTGTTTCACATGTTTTTAAACAAAACGATTCATAATTTCAATAGTTATTTAACATTGTATGTTTATTACACATAAAACTATGCATGTCAGACCGTATGTTCATTACACATAACAAAGATTATCCACTAACCAGGAAATCCACATATTATATCAGTGGCAATGTGCATCTCTGGCACAAGCTTAGTCAGAGTTTCTACAACAGTCCTGAACTCATCCACAGTATATTCCCGATTCATTGCCTGATAAATTCATTAGTTAGTACATTATCTAGTGCATGTTATAGTATACAATCTTGTCAATAATTTTTATGACTTAACACTCAAAATAGTATCACTTCCAGACTGAACTGGTACATGCAGAAAAGAGTACACACAAGGATGCCGCAAAATCTCGGCTATCTCTTTCAAGTGTTCAAGGATATAAGGTGGATTGGTCATTCCAATACATAGCATTGTGCTTGCATCAGCTGGTAGTTCTGCTACTAAGGCATTCAATAAAGTTGGAAGATTGACGCCAATGTCACGACCTGTAAAGCATGATGACCTAAGAAACCATTGATATAAATCCCACTGCCAATTTTATAACATTTGCATTGCTTGGCGGTCAATGCAAGTTATCAGGAAATTTCATTTATGATCAAGGCTACAAATATCTGAAATTAATAAAAGATATTGAAGGACTCTGGCCAACAATCTAAATTACCATATGCTCCAGTGTCCTCACTGCTAAGCCATATCTCTTTGACTCCATCAGATATGACAGATTTTACACGGTCAACCTGAAGTAGTTCCAAATTAACACATACACATATAAGCAAACTGAAATAGTAAAAAGGAACGCACATGTTATAATTTACTGTCGTAGTACTTACAAGGATATCAATCGTGTAACTTCCTAGGTGACCCCGAGCATGCTTTGTCTTGCAATAAGTGCAAGCACCTAAACAACCAACATTAATAGGAAGAATCTCAACAAACTTGTTCTTCCTTAACTGATACAGAAGTATAATTTGCAAAAATCAAAGCTAATATGCACCAACTATACCAAAGCATAAAACATAAGATACAACACATGATTTAGAAAATAAAAATATACATGGTAATTGGGTAGAAATTCAAACCTTTGGAAGGTCAAGTGCTGGCAATTTCTTACGGGTCAAAAGGCGCACTTCATGACCCTTTAAAGTCTCCTCTACAATTTCAACGACACGATCAATTTGCTGGACTCCAACTATGCTGATGCCTTCCAGCTCTTTCAAATTTCGACTTCCTTGAGGGACACAGCCAGCAACAACTAGAGGTTTATTTAAAGATTTTCCTTTTGTTATGATGGTATCCATGGCAGATTGACTTGGGGATTTCACTGTGCAACTGGAGCAGTAATTACTTAACGTGAATATATGGATGATGCATTGATGTTAATGTGAAAGTGTATGAATGAAGTTGCAAGGTGTTGAGGGAGGGGAATAGGCTAACTAACGTGTTAATTAGCCAGAGATCTGCTTGGTCTGGATTGTCACTCAACTAATAACCAAAAGCCGAAAGCTGACCAGCCATATATTCACTGTCACTCTGTTAAGATCAAACAATTATTCACTAATTAATTAAGATGTGTTGTGATGTGATTGATGATATGATAACCCACAGGAAAGAATGAGTAACACAGCACAAAACAACACTTGCCTGGTTATGGGAGCAGCCAAAGGTCTTAATGCAGGAGAAGGCGAAGAAGAGAGTATATTCCGTTTGCTCCCAACGCCAACGCCCACAGCCGCCGGTAACGGCGAACGGAAGCCCGGTGGAGTTGTGCTTCTGTTTCCAATCAGCAAATCTTCAATGTCTTCCATCTCTTCTTCCCTTTTCTTCTCTGCTCTGCCCTAAACAAAAACAAACCCTTATCCCCCTCTTATCGCTCGCTTCACCTATAAGAAAATATATAAACACTGTTTTATTTTAAAAAATCTCTATTTTACTCTTCATTTCATTTAATTTATCCACCATCCTTCCTCATTTCAAATATTTCCTAATTTCTATTTAAGTAAATTAAAACTCTCTATTTGTATAATTTTTTTAATTAGGTTCCCAACTTAGAAAAAATAAATCAATGTAAATTATTATATATAACAGTTTTCAATTCAAGTTGTTATAAATTAAATCAAATAATATATTTACAAAATTTTATAAAATCTAAATAAAAAATTATCTAGTAATATTTTTTTTAGTTTATCAATCTAACTACTAATTATAAAACTATTTAAGAAATTACTATATAATAAGTAAATAATGTATTCAACTTTTTGTTAGGTATCAGACAAAAACATAAACATAAGTACACAACTAAAATAAATAAATAAATGAGAAAAAATCGACAATAGGCAAAAGAGTAATTTCACTAATGAAAGAAATTACAATCATTCTCTGTATCTCCAAGGAGGAAATAATAACACTCTCCCTTTAAATTAAAGGAAAAACAACTCTAAGAGAACCTAAAAGAAGAAATTATTTTTCTCTCTTAATTTATCTCTAAAGTACTAAAGTAACAAGAAAAAAAAAAAAGTTATTTTTTTGTATTTTATAAAGTAAACATTATGCTCCTTTTATAGTAAAAAAAGTAAGCATCAAACTAAGATTTCCCTTATGTGAGACTTTTCTTCTCACAATCTCCCACTTGAAGATTTTGATTAAATTAATCAAATTTTCACATCATGTTTGTTTTATTCTTGTCATCCATGTTGTTTATTTTTCCGCTAGGCCATAGTAGGATCAACTCCATACAAACTTGTCAACACTAACGGCTTTTGTTAGAATCACGTAGCGGAATGTTCGCGTTTAGGGACAAAAACCAAGAGAGGGTGAATTGGTTTCGTAAACAAAAATTAGGGTTTTGAAATTTTTCCCAAATTTCACCGATTAAAATGCTTTGTAAAGTAAAGAGATAAGGGAAAGAAGATTACACAGTTGATTTATACTAGTTCAGATTACCCTACGTCCAGTTACTAATCACTCAAAAAGAGGATTAACATTGTCACTATAATCATAGTTTACAACAAATTACAAATTGAAAAAGATAAGGAATAGAAAACACCTCTCTTGAGTCACACAAGAGATGGACACCTCCTTTGAATCCACAAAGGATGAACAACAACTTTTCCTAGAGACGACACAACACACAATCCACCAAGAAACTCACTCAGTGATTCTTATCGCTTCTAGCCCATACTAGGTTTTCAAAAGCCTTTTTTTCTTCCCTACAGAAAGTTCTCTAGCAGTCACAACTCTTAACTTTTTTGTATGAAAAAGGTTTGTTATTTTGCAGAGAGCCTTAGAGAACCTTAAGTAGAGAGAATAGGGTCTGGGAAATGATGATTTTCAAAAACATAAGAATTGGGAATATGATTTTCGTAAATTGATCTAGATTTGAATTTCAAAACTCATAACAGACATAGATAATCGATTATCTGGAGTGATCATCGATTATTACAGAGTCATTTTCGCAGAGGAGTAAAACAGGACCAGGATAATCGATTATCTGTGTAAATAATCGATTATCTAGCTGGGATAATCGATTATCACAACAAGCTTTTCAGAAAAATTATTTTCAGTGCAGGATAATCGATTATCCTGAGTGATAATCGATTATCACAGAGTGGATTTGATAAAAATGAGTTTTCAAATTATGGATTATGTGCTGGCTATCTTGAACTCTAATTTTACAGACTCAAAAACATAAAACATAGTTATTACAAGTAATACACATGATTATAACTATGTCTCTAAGTCTTTTGTTCTTAAATCATCATCAAAATCTTCAAGCTTCATATCTTTGTATGTTTAACAATCTCTCCCTTTTTTATGATGATCAAAATTTGTTTTAAAGCTCATTGTAATAACCTGTTTTAATTGTCACAACTAACAAAACTATTAAACATACCAGCATCATTAAAATTATTAAACATATGAGGCTTTAAATGATTTATCCCCCTATTTTGATTATAATAAAAAAGAAATGAAAGTTCCCCCTCAACATATGCATAACACAAATAAACAACTTCCCATCAATCAATGCAAACACAAAATTCTATTCAATAAAATAATATAGTATAAACAAACAATAAATTTGAAGAAGTTAAAACTCTTCACTCTCATTACTATTACAAAATTTAAGCAATTTCTTCATCCTTGCCTAGAAAATACATTGATAATCGATTATTACTTGAAATAATCAATTATTCTAGAGAAAAATCACTGATTTTGGTCAATGAGGTACAGATAATCAATTATTACCCCAAATAATCGATTATTACAGAAAGATTTTTCATAAACCACTCATTTAAGCTTCAATAATCGATTATTACCCAAGATAATGGATTATTCCAGAGAGATTAACAATTTTATCATGTATTAGACACATGATAATCGATTATTACCCTATATAATCGATTCTTCCAGTACAAAATGCAAATATTGGTCAATTAAGTAGAGTTTAAACTATTTCTAATATTCCTAAGTCTCTCCTAAGTTCATAGAATCTATCCTTTGGAAGAGGTTTGGTAAATATATTTGCTAACTAATGTTTTGTGTCTATATACTCAATTTTACAATTTCCTTTAGATATATGATTTCTTAAAAAATGATGTCTAATCTCAATGTGTTTGGTTCTAGAATGCATAACATGATTCTTTGTGAGATTAATAACACTTGTATTATCACACATTAAAGGAATATTACTTAGAAAAATACTAAAATCTTCTAATTGTTGCTTCATCCATAAGATTTGAGCACAATAATTACCAACTGCAATGTATTCAGCTTCAGTTGTGGATAAAGCAACACATGCTTGTTTCTTAGAATGCCAAGATACTAAGGATGATCCTAACAGATGACATGTTCCACTAGTACTTTTTCTATCTATTTTACATCCGCCATAATCAGCATCAGAATAACCTATTTGATGAGCCATTATTTTCTCGCATTTTCTTATCTTTCTGTACTTATCTTAATTGGTGCATTGTGCTTAATTGTCTATTATTAGTGCATTTTCATTGATTGGGCTTCATTGGACCATTATTCCAAATTTTGTTTAATTTAGCATTAATTGGTCTAATTTTCGTTTCTAATTATTTTTAGGTATTTTTTGTGAAACAAATTTGGAGCATGGACATTAATATTGAGATGAAGAGAGTTTCCACATCATTGCCACGTCAGTTGCCACGTCAGCTATCACGTTACCTGCCATGTCAGCTGCTATTTCCATATCATATTAATGATTGCCACGTCAGCTAGGGTTTGTTTGATGTGTAATCCCGTGTGGGCCAGCTTGGGCTCATTCCTAGGGGACTCTAGGGTTAGCGTAGACTGGTATTTTTAGAGGAGCAGCAGGAGGAGGAGACAGGCAACCATTGTAGTTCTTTTTTACGTTTAGTTCATGTTGGTTTTCTCTGCACCTTAATTTGGATTGCTCAAGGCTCATTAATGGATTAATATGGTTCAATTTCATTTTCTGCTGCCATGAAGAGTTTGCATTCTTTCACTTCTGTTGCAAATTTCATTGTGTAGTTTAGTTCAGGCCAATCATGTATTTCAATTTCTGTTGAAATCCATTTGTTATTATGTTGTTCCATCTTGTATTTCAATTGTAATTTCTTGTTAATGGACAACCACCACATTTTCTGAGATTCTTTTTGTTCTCTTTGGGGATTAGATTCACGAAAACATTCATCATTTGGTAATTTACGTTTTGTTCTTCTTCTTCTCTGCACTGGATTTTGTTTTTATGTTTTCTACTGCATTTCTGAATTAATGGAAGGCTAAACCCCTTAAGGTTGGCTCGTTGAACAGATGACAATTCTCTTTGAGGATATTGCGTTTCATGTTAATTGATCTCTGTTTTATTTGGTTTTCCAATATATTGTCCCACAGGTTGCATTCAATCTACGTTGATGCTTAATGAACTTGGGTTGTGTGTGAACTGCAACTTCAGTTCCATAGTTTACTTAATTCTGTGGGCTGGGATAATATGTTCTGCATGTTGCTTAATCGTGTAGGGAAGTCCTGATCAATCTTCGCTTAGTGGATTGGTGTTGGATGGAACAAGGTTGAGTAGGGCAGAGAATTTGTTGTTACCCAGGGATAAGAGACTTGAATCTAATTAAGGAGCCAAGCTATTTCTACTACCATTTAGCTGTTAATCATTTGAAATTCTGCAACTCCCCCCATTACTGTTTTATCTGTTTGATGTGTGAATCTTTGATTGAAACTAATAGTCCTTGGGAGACGACCTAGGAGTTTGTTGCCTAGTACTACATTTAATCACATTTATTTGACCGGATACGGCTCCGATCACTATTAAACTAGGAGAAGCTTCAGATGGATACCATAACTCAAATATTGTAGTTCCTTTTAAATATTTTAAAATTCGTTTTACTACGGTTAAATGAGATTCTTTTGGACATGCTTGAAATCTAGCACACACACAAACAGAATGCATAATATCAGGTCTACTTGCAGTTAAGTATAATAGAGAACCTATCATACCTCTATACATTGATTGATTAATTTCCAAACCTGATTCATTTTTATCCAAATAGTATGATGTTCCCATGGGTGTGTTAGCTTTCTTTGAAGTGTTCATTCCAAATTTCTTGAGAATCTCTTTGCAGTATTTGGTTTGTGATATAAACGTGTCATCTTTAAGTTGCTTAATTTGAAGTCCAAGAAAGAATGTTAATTCTCCAATCATTGACATTTCAAATTCACCCTGCATTATCTTAGCAAATCCTTCACACAAGGAATTATCAGTTGATCCAAAAATAATATCATTAACATATACTTTAACTAACATAATATG